GATGTGGCAACTGTGTCCTTCGTGCATTCCAGATGTGCAGCGCTGGGCCTCGGGAGCACCCGCCTCACCGCTGCTTCATCTCAGCTGGGACAGCGCCTCCTCCTGCAGGAAGGCCTCCTTACCCTCCCTTGGCTGACAGGGCCTCTCCCGGCCACACCTTGCCTCTCACAATCCTCTGCCACAGCGCTGGGAACCTGGGGGTGATGGCCTTTCCTATGAGACTGGGAACTCCTTGGGCAACAACCTTGTTTGCAGGGCCACTGAGCAGGCTGTGGGGAACACGAAGGTGCTACAGAGCCTGTTCCTAGAAGGCGCATTGCATCTACTCGGAATAAGGGGCTTCTCTCTCTAATTCCTAAAGAAGTGCCCCCTTGGGATGACAGCAAACCCACACACTGCAGTCAGTCTCCAGGGAATGGCTGCCTTGGCCTCTTGTTCTGTCACTGCTGTGCCTGGTACAAAGTGGCGGTGCACTAATTGCTTCTGGGATGAGTAGCTGGCCTTTAATGATTCTAAAGTTCTGTAATTCAGTGGTGGAGCATGTATCCGATTATTTAACGGGGTTACCTTTAGGAGAGGTGGAACAGTCAGGCACCATAAGAATAGTAATAATGGACTGACAATCCTCAGGAGAAAGGGGTGTGGAGGGTGCAGGAAGAGATCGGACAAAAATCTTACACCTATGGATGAGGACAGTGCAGGGGGGGGCGGGTAAGGGCATGGGGTGGGATGGGAACCTGGTGGAGGGGAGATATGGTGGAAAAAAGAGGAACATCTGTAATAATCTGAACAATAAAAGATTTATTAATTTAAAAAAAAATATACAATGCTGCTTTTCATATCATGCTTATAGATAATTACACAATTCATGTAAAACTATTGTTAAAATTTTGTGCAAAATATTGTTAAAATTTTCTAATAAGGTTTTAATTTTCCTTATTAGAAAAAAATATTAAAAAATGTGTTGATACTCTCATTAAATGTAGGAAATTTTCCATTCAGTTCCCTGTATAAACAGTTATTGACTACCTAGACAGAATATAGAAATGCTTAAGCTAGTCTTTGACCTGAAGGAATACATAGCTCATTAGAAAGACTAACTTAAAAAAATATCACATGGTGTTAAATACAGAAATAGAAGTATATACTAAGGACAATGGTGTCACAAAAGATGGAAAAATGCAATGATTTTCAGAGAATGAAAAAGAATTCTGACTCCAAAAAGAGAGAAGAAAATATACTTTAGGCAAAAGAAATATGATCATAGGTATGTATTTATGAGACAACAAAGTCTGTGAAGAGACCTCGGACAAGATCCGGAGTCTAAAGAGATGGAAGTAGTTTGTAGTTTATAAATAGTAATTCTTCTCTCCCTCCGTCCCTCCCTTCCTTTCTCCCTTTCTCCCTCCCTCCTTTCCTTCCCCTTACCTTAGCTAGATTAGTATTATTTCCTCTATATCTTGCAGGCTGACATTATTTGGAACCTTCAATGCTGCTCAGCAGTAACACCATATTTCTCTAGTCTACTCTCCTCTACTCTCTTAGACAATTATTTTATTACTTTCCCTTTTTCTTTAAACTTTATACATTTTTCTTCTTCACCATGACCCTTAGGTAATGACCTTACTTTGTCTGTTACTAAGAAAATCAAAGCATTCTGCAGAGAACATCTTGAGTTTCTATTTTATGCACCTCCCTATGCACATCTGTCCACATAGGCTGTGTCCTCTGTTACTATGGGTAAACTGTCCACGCTCCTATCTAAGGCTAATCTCTTCTCTTGCCCTTCAGTTTGAAGAAAAAGCTAAAGGAGTTCATCACCACCAAACCAGTATTATATGAAATGCTGGAGGGTATTCTTTAAGAAGAGGAAGAAGAAGAAAAAGGTAAAGATAAAAAAGTATGAACAACAAAGTGACAACAAATACATATCTATCAACAAGTGAATCTAAAAATCAATTGAATAAAAAATCTGATGAACGGAATAAACTGGTGAATATAATAGAATCAGGGGCATAGAAAGGGAGTGGACTGGCAGTTCTCGGGGGGAAGGGGGTGTGGGAAGAGACTGGACAAAAATCATACACCTATGGATGAGGATAGTGGGGGGTGGGTAAGGGCATGGGGTGGGTTGGGAACCGGGTGAAGGGGAGCTATGGGGGCAAAAAAAGAGGAACAACTGTAATAATCTGAACAATAAAGATTTATTTTTTAAAAAGAATAGTAATAATTAGTGTCTATTGAATACTGACTTTGCTGGGCACTGTTCTAAGCTCTTTATGTGACTTCACTCGTTTCGTCCTCACAGAGATGGGAACTCATACCATTCCCCGCTTTCACAGACGGGGAAACTGAGACACGAGGACATGAAGTGATTACACTCGCACGGCTCCGAAGCGGGGACTGGACGAGAACCCGGGGCTCGTTGGCTCTCTGAGAAACCTCGCTCTCCTGACTTCTAGGAAAGAGACCCCTTTCTTCATTGAGTGTTTCTCAGTTGTCAACTTCCTTTAACTAGATCAGCCCTGTGTTTGCATCAGCAAAAAAAAATAAGACTTTTTAAAAGACTTAAGAGTTTGTCATGAGTCACAGTATTTGAGGAGTGCAGCCACACCTGTGACCTGAGGCAAGGGTGCAGCTAGAGGTGCCACCCCTGGTGACAGAGTACTTAGGGTTGGGGTGAGCAAAGAGGGTGGGGACTGCTCCAAGCTCCTGGGCAGGGAGCTGGGCAGGCCTGAGAGATGCACCCTCAGCTGGTTCCCCTTTCCGGGCCCCAGGGCAGAAGGGGGAGCCAGGTGCAAGGGAGGCAGGTGAGTCAAAGGAGGGCTGGATTGGGCACCAGGCAGGAGGCAGGGGAGGGGGCCTCAGGGGCACATGAGGAACCATGGAAGCCTCAGGAGGCCTCTTGCCCCATCTCCCTCCTTCCATGTCATGGACTTGCAGCATGGGGGTGCTCTCTGTTGGGCCCTGTGAGCGCCCTGATTTGGGATGTCCGGGCTGGTGGCATCAGCCTCTGGGGCTGCCAGAGTCAGACCAACTCCCGTCCCTCTGCCCTGGACAGGGCTCAGGCCTGCATTTCTGGGCATGAGTTCCTGGGGTCTGGGTGGGTGTGGTTGAGTAGCTGTGGGTCCTTGGAGCTTATACGGGATTCTGAATTGTGTGTGTGTTGTGGAGTGATGTCTATACGTAAAAAGACTTTGAGAGACGGTTGGAGGCAGCCTTAGAGCTGGTGAAGGTGGGTGTGGTTGCATAGGGGAAGCTGGTTCATATGTGATTGTTTTCTCTAAGGATGTGGGCACGTGTGTCTGCATCTTGGTGTGAGCAGCACTGATATGGGTGTAAGTGTTATGTGTAGTAACTGTGTATTGCAGTGTAGGGTGTGTGTATCTGTGTGTTGTGTTTATTGTTGTAGCTTTAGTGGGGTTCTGTTAGGAGAGACAATTAGGTGTTTTGATGTGTTGCCTCCTTGGTCTCTGTATTTTGGTTGTTGTGTTGGTTGTGCACGTTTGGGTCTGGGTTGTGTACCTGGGTGTCAGTGTGTGGGTGTATGTCATGGTGTATGGCTGTGCTGTGCATTTGGACAGCTGCTTTGCTGGGTGTGTGTATTAAAGTGTTGCTGGCAGATGCATCAGTTGTCAGTTTACATGTATATGCTGTGTGGTTGTATAGGTGTGTGTATTTGTGTGTGTGTGTGTGTGTGTGTGTGTGTGTGTGTGTGTAGTACTTTCAGGTTTGGCCTGTGCTGAGTGACCTAAGAAGGGAGCCCCCTGGGCCCTTACTCTGCCCTTCCCTTTGGCCCCCGAGTCCCAGGGCAGCAGTGGCCCTTGCTGAGGCCACAGGAAGGCCCCACACCCTCTCTCTCAGGGAACCCTAGGAGGGGCCCAGACTGGGAGCTCCAGCCTCCCTGTCCATTGTTCTGGGCCTTCTTTGGAAAACAGGATGAGAGGCAAAAGATGGACCCAAGCCTGGACCCCCCTACACTCCCTGGAATGACCCAAGAGCCCATCAAAAAACCCTTAAGATGGAGGGCCAGGGACCATCCCCATTTTACAGATGGGGAAACTGAGGTCCAGAATGGATAAGAGACTTGGCAGAGGTCTCACAGCTGGTTAAGGACAGAGAGTTTGAAGCCTCCACACCCCTCAAGTGCCCATATACAGCCTTCTGCTGGGCTGGGGGATAGGAAATGAGACCCCTGGAAGGACACAAACTATCTATTTTGCTGCCATTTCTGAGTGCTTACCTCGTACTAAGCCCTGAAGTGTCATAACTCTGTAGGTTAAGGTCAAATTTTGTCCCCATTTTGCACATAAGGAAACTGAGGACCATACGGTAACAATTCGTTAATTCAACAGATCTGACCCTACATACTCTTCCATTTAAGTACTATGCCCCGGGAACTTGAGCAAGTCCTTCACCCTCTCTGGGCCAGGCCCTGTGCTCAGCTCTGGGGACACAGCAGTGGCCAAAGGAGCCATGGTTCCTGCCCTCCTAGAGCCTGGGGCAGGCATGGGGATGGAGGAGGATGGACAATCTCCAAGAAAACAAAGATCTTTTCAGATGGTAATAAATTCTATAAATAATTAAGACCAGGGGAATGTGAAAGAAAGTGAATAAATAGCCAAAGGAGGTTCTAAGAAGAGCTCTGAGGAGGTGACATTTGACCTGAGACTTGAAGAATGAGAAGTCTTGTAAAGATCGGGGATGAATGCAGAGGGAACAGCAAAGGCCCTGAGGTAGGACCCAGCTAGTTTAGGAAAGGAGACCACATGGCCGGGGAGAGAAAGGCCGGGCAGGAGAGGTGGCTGGCGGTGGTGGACAGAGGCTGCAGGCTGGGGAGGGGTTTGGATTTTATTCTCAGTGTGATGGGCAGAGAGGCGGTGTTGGCTGAGCGCAGAGTGCTGGGGTAGAGTGTGGAGGGGGTGCTTGTGGTCTCCTGTTACAAGGAGCAGGGAAGGGGGGGGGCGGTGGGAACAGCCAGAGCCAAAGGTCTCTCCCCCGCAGCTCCGGCAGTCCCAGCCCAGAGGCGCCGGCCTGGCGGCTGGAAGACCGCGCTGTGGGCACATCTGGGGAGCAGCTGCCGGGCCAGGGCCAGAGCAGCCAGAACGGGTCACGTGGCACAGGGCAGGCCCGCCCTGGAGCCTGCAAGGCCAAGACTCCCGGGAGGGGCAGTGGGGAACATGCTGGACATGAACACGCATCAACGAGGATGTGCTCGGCAGTGTAGACACGCATGCACACAAGCCTTCAGCCCCACAGCCACCGCCTCAGGAGACAGACCGCCTGGGTTCAATGCCACATCCCAGCTGTGTGCCGGAAGCAAGTCACTCCACTTCTCTGGGCCTCAATGGCCTCAACTGTAAAAGGAACATACCTATTACTACCAGTCGTAGGTTAATACTTGGAGCTCTGCCTGATACAGAGGGAGCCCTTAGAAAATGGGAGCCTTTGCCTTGAGCCCTGGAGGCCAGAGGAGAGATCTTGAAGGCCGAAAAGGTGATGTGGTGACAGAGAAATCAGGAAAAGACATGTCCATTCATCACCAGGTGCTGCCGTTACCTCTTGGCATCGCTTATTTTACTCTCATAACCACTCCACAGAGAACAATGAACATGAACCCCAGGTTACAGATGAGGAAACTGAGGTACAGCTTGTCGATGATAGAGCCAGGATTGGAAGGTGTCAAGGGCTGGTCCTTTTTTCTCTCTGGGCCCCCATATTCCCATCTGTGGAATGGTGCATTATAAAAATAATACAGCTGTTACCAGCGTCAGGGAGCAGCTGTGAAAATCAGACCGTGCCAGGTGTGTGTAAAGGGCCTCCCGAGAGACTACTAGCTTGAATCCTGGTTTAGGGCCATGTAGGTTCATTTAAAGAGTCCTCCAGCCTTAGCCGGTTTGGCTCAGTGGATAGAGCATCAGCCTGTAGACTGAAGGGTCCCAGGTTCCATTCTGGTCAAGGGCACATGCCCGGGTTGCGGGCTTGATCCCCAGTAGGGGGCGTGCAGGAGGCAGCTGATCAATGACTCTCATCATTGATGTTTCTATCTCTCTCTCCCTCTCCCTTTCTCTCTGAAATCAATAAAAATATATTTAAAAAAATAAAAATGAAGAGGCCTCCAAACTTCCTGGCCACCAAAAAAGGGGTGGTAGGACTGAGAGGCAAATGCTCACTCAATTCACACTACCCGAGAGAGGGCCAGAAAAATGCCTATTTGGCAACAAGATAAATAGACAGTCTTTGTTTAAATTCTTTGTCAGGCCTTAAAAATGTAAGAGATAAAAATCATGTCTGGAAGTACTGAACATTTTCTGGAATGAAATGAAGCCATTTTTTCCCCACAGACCTAGGATGGGTATGTGTATAGGGGGTGTCGTTATTTCACTTGGAAAGTTTGAGGGGAACACCGTGAAGGGAAAATTTCATGGGGTCTGAAAGCTCATCTCACATGGCTCGCTAAAAAACCCCAGAAGTAAAACTGCAAACCACATGAGCTCTGGGGGCCTGGCCTGAAATTGAACAGACACTATTCCTATCTACTGTTTAGTGAGCACCTACTACATTCAAGACCATCACAGGAGCTTTGGGACCCTAATCTCAATGAATCCTTTTTTTAAATAAAGTATTTTTATTTTTTATTATTTTTATTTTTTTGTTGTTAATCCTCACCCAAGGATATTTTTCCACTGATTATTAGAGAGAGAGGGAGAGAGAGAAACATCAATGATGAGAGAGAATCATTGATCGGCTGCCTCCTGCATGCTCCCTACTGGGGATCCAACCTGCAACCCAGGCACATGCCCAGACCTGGAGTCGAACCGGGACCTTCTGGTTCATAAATCGATGCTCAACCACTGAGCCACACTGGCCAGGCCATAATATAGTCTTGACGTAGTTAGCACAGGACCTGGCAGGAGGTGGATGCACATGAATGTTATTTGAGCGGGGAGGGTCCTAATTGTTCCTTGACCCTCTCTCCTACTTGTCTGCAAAGTGTCTTTGACATTCCCACCTCATCCCAACCATCAGTCAGGCCAGAGTGAGATATACTAAACATTTAAAGTTGGCTTTTTATTACACAAAATATTTCACGAATACACTTCTGTTTAAAAAATGTATTCAAAAAATACCTATGTATATTGGATCAGAGACCTAAAACTATAAAAACCTAAAGCTATAAACCTTCTGGAAAATATAGGAGAAAATCTTTGTGATCTTGGATTAGGTAGAGATTTCTTAGATATGACAAGAAAAGCACGATTCATAATATTAAAAATTGATAAATTGGACTTCATCAAAATCTAAAACTTTTGCTCGTCGAAAGACGCAAGTAAGGAGATTAAAAGATGAGACACACTGGAGAAAATATTTGTAACTCATATATCTGATAAAGGATTTGTATTCGAAACATAAAGAACTCTCAAAACTCAATAATAAGAAGACAAAAACCAAGTGAACAGAACTGGACAAAAGATTAAAGGGTAGCACGAGGGATCCTTGTGATGGAGCTGTTCTGTGTCTTCACTCTGGTGGTGCTCACAGGAATCTACACATGATAAAACTGCAGAGAACTAAATACACATACAAAGGGAAGCATGTCAATCAGGTGAAATCTGAATTTCATGTGAAATCTTCTTGTAATATTGTACTATATTTATGCAAGATGCTTCCATTAGGGAAAGTGGGTAAAGGATATAAGGGGTTTCTCTATTATTTCTCACGACTTCATGTGAATCTACAATTATCTAAAACTAATTTTTTAATGAGCAAAGAATGAATGACACTTTGCCAGAGAAGATATATGGATGACATATAAGCACATACAAAGATGATCAACATTTTTAGTAACTCGGAAAATACAAATTAAAGCCATGGCCAGTGTGGCTCAATTGCCTGGGCTTCATCCCATGCACTGAAAGGCTACTAGATAGACAGAGAAACAGCGATCAGACTATCAATCCCCAGAGGGAAAGTAGGGGGGGGTGGGGGTAAGGGGAAGAGATCAACTAAAGGACTTGTATTAAAAGATTTAAATTTATGGGGGGGAGTTGGGGGTTAATGTGGGGGATGAGGACACATTTGTAATACCTTAACCAATAAAGAAATTAAAGATAAAAAGGAAAGAAAAGAAAGAAAGGCTACCAGATCAATTCCTAGTCAGGGCACATGCCCAGGTTGCAGGCTCCAATCCCCAGTAGGGGGCGTGCAGGAGGCAGCCAATTGATGTTTCACTCTGTCTCCCTCTCCCTTCCTCTCTCTCTCTAAAAGTCAATAAAAATAAAAATTAAAAATTAAAAAAGAAAATACAAATTAAAACCACAGTGAGATACTACACTCATCTATTAGAATTGCTGAAAACAACTGACCACATCAACCGTTAGAGAGGACGTGGGGGACCTGGGCTCTCCACACTGCCGATACACCTCTTGGGAAAACATTTGAATAGTTTCTTATTAAATTAAGTAAATACCTACTGTGTGACCCAATCATTCCACTACTGTTTGCCTAACAGAACTGAAAGCACAGATTCATATAAACACATGTATACAACTGTTCAAAGCAGCTTTATTTGTACTAACCAAAAACTACAAACAACCTAGATGTAAATGGATAAGCAAATTGTGGTATATCCACACACTACTACTAAGCAATAAAAATGAATGAACATGAATGAATCTCAAAATAATTATTCTGCGTTAAGAAAAAAGTAGGCTGACAAAGCTACAATAAAGAGTAAGCACTGTATATACATTATGTATGTATATACTGTGTATATATACTGTACTTCATTTATATAAAATTCTAGAACATGCAAACTATAGAATAAAACAGAAACCAGTTACCTAGACACTGAGTGGGAGAGTGGGGAGGGATTACGAAGGGCAAAAGAAAACTTCTAGGGTTGATTAAGTATATAATAATTGTCTTGATTGTGGCAATAGTTCATGAGTAAGAGAGAGAGAAACTTATGATGTCATACACTTCAAATATATACACTTTGTGTATGTCAATTATCTATAATAATAAAAAAGTAATATGCTAATTAGACCAGAGAGCCGAATGACCCTTCAGACGTCATCCCCAACAAAGCTGCCACAGCAGGGGCCAAGGCAGAGGCAGTTAGGGGCCATCAGGCAGGCGGGTGAGCGGTTAGGGCCAATCAGGCAGGCAGGCAGGCGAGCGGTTAGGAGCCAGTGGTCCCAGATTGCAAGAGGGATGTCCGACTGCGAGAGGGTGCAGGCCGGGCTGGGGGCCCCTTCCCCCACCCAGTGCACAATTTCATGCACTGGGCCTCTAGTACTTCAATAAGACTGCTTAAGGGGGAAAAAATCAAATACCTATGTGAAGATAAAAGTGAAATCCTAATTTCACATTGTTCTCCTTCCCCTCACTCCTCTTCACAGTGGTAACAGTAGTAATTTGGTATTTATCCTTTTTTTTTCTCTTTCTAATATTTTTTATTGAGGTGCTATTTAAATACAGTGAAATGCACAAAAATATATAATTCAATGTGTTTTGACTAACTCTTACACTGTGTAATGCACACCTCAGCATGACAGGGAACATTCCCATCACTCCAGAACGTTCCCTCACACCCCTTGCCTGGCAACTCCCACGCTCCACTCCCAGAGGCAGCCCCCATTCTGATTTCTTTCATCATACATTAGTTGTGAGTTTTAGAACTTCATCTGAGAGAAAGTACACAGTATTGTGTTTGAAATTTTCTGCAGCATAATTTCCTCTCATTTTAAATTCATTTCCAGATACACATGTACTTAGGCACAGTATGTTTGCTTTCTTACAGGAGGTCCTACCTTAACCCCCAGTCTAACTCTTGCTTCCTCTACCAACAGCATCTAGATATCTCTCAGAACCAAACTTCCCCTGCCGCAGGGCCAGTCCACAGCACTGATGTTCCATTCATCCTTATATAATACCACGCAATATTATTTGCTGGATATTTAGGTTATTTTAACTTCCCCTCTTGTAAATAGCACCTCAACGAACATCTTTGGGAAGACATTTTTTTAAAAGGAATGTCTCATTCTTTTTTAAAAACAATAGTTTACTGATTTTTAGAGAGAGAGGCACTGAAAGGGAGAGAGAGAAAAGCATGGATGTGAGAGTGCAACATGGATCGGCTGCCTCCAGCACACGCCCTATCAGGGATCGAGTCCACAACCCCGGCACATGCCCTTGACCCAGAATCCAACCGGCAACCTCCTGGTGCACAGATGATGCCCAACCAACTGAGCCGCACCAGCCAGGGCTGAGCAGACATCTTTGTGCGTGTGTGTGTGTGTGTGTGTGTGTGTGTGTGTGTGTGTGTCTGGAATTGATACCAGCAAAAAGAATTGCTAGGTCAATTAATAATCACTCAATAGTAAATTAATATTCTAATTTCCTCTCCCGCTGGTCATTGTCCTTCCAATTCTTTAGCAATTCTTCTGCACAGCAAAATGTTCTCTCCAATCATTAGAGGATTGCAAAACAAGCCTAGGGAGTTTGGAGAGCTTGCGGGGTGTCATAAGAGGATGGGGAGTCCAGCTAATTAATTGATGATGTCTCTCCTTTGAAGCTAGTCTCCCTGATCAGTTTTCCTGTTTTCCTCATGTGGATGCAGTGGGCTGGTTTATTGACCCCCTTCTGCAAACTTCTGTAGAAAAAGGAAACCTGACACCCAGTGAGTTAATTGTTGTGTGTGTGTGTGTGTGTGTGTGTGTAGGGGGGCGGGTAATATCACCCCCTCCTGTGTGAGCGCAGAATTTTAGCCTCCTCACGCTTCGGGTGTGGCTTCGGGTGGCTATGCGGTTTCCACAGCTCTGGTCCATCTAGGGTTCTGGAGGCAGACTGGACGGGGCTGCATTACAATGAAGTGCCCTTGTTATTAACAATGCAGCCATTACAACAGTGTGGCTCCCGGGAGGCTTGTTGAGCCTCAGTTTCCTCCTTTGTATAAAGAAACCAAACAGCTCCTCTCTTTGGAGTTGTAGCAAGGATTCCAGAAGATGATACAGGCAAACTCTTCACACAGTGCCTGCCTGGCAGGAAGTAAGAACGCAATAAATCGTCACTTGTGTGATTATCATCAACAAACCGGGCAGATAGTATGGCTCAGAGGGCTTGGGACACAACTAAATTCACCCAGCAGCAGAGCTGGAATCGGAACTCGGGCCCCTTTCCCCAGGCAATAAGGGGAACTGGAGATGGGGAGGAGGCGGTGAGGAAACCTCCCAAGCGGCCCAAGCTGTGGGCCTGGTGGGGAGATTCCAGGTGTGGGGCGGGGAGGTAAGGTGACCCTTGCCCGGCGACCGCGCCCGTGAGGAGCACATTCCCAGGCCTCCTGCCGGAGGTCCGCAGGTGACTGGCGGGGCCCGGAGTAGCGCGGGGAGCCGGGTTTGCCGTCTCCATGGCGACCGCCCGCGCGGCGCCAGCCTGACAGCCCGTCCAGGTTTTATGAATGGGTGACGTCACGGGCCTGGCGTCTAACGGTCTGAGCCTCTTGTTCAGACGCTGACACAGACCAGCCCGGGAAGCCCGGCGGGGGGAGGGTGGGAGGAGAGGGGGACTGGAGCTCTGCAGCTGCCGCGCTGTGGGAGAACCTGATCCGAAATCTTTTTTAGAGGGGAAACCTCCGAAAAAAGGGAGAAAAATTTAAAAATCACTAGTTGATGCAGATTTAGGGAATTTTTGCAAGGGGCTGCAAATTCAGAGTAGAATTAGGAGATGCAGCCCCACTCTGGGAGCCATCTATCCAGTTCAGGTCCCAGAGGCCCAGCCCCCAGTCCTAGGGGAAGACTTTCCCAAATTAAGTGCTCCCACCCCGAGGGGCCTGGGTAAGTCCCCCTGGTCCCAGGACATTAACAACACTCCCTGGCAATTGGGAAAGAGAGACGAGCCCCAGTTCAGAGTGTGAAAGGAGGGCCCGCTTTAATTTCGGACCAAACATTCGCGAGATCAGGGTCCCAGAAGTCGTCTTCCAACAGGATCCAGAAGCCCAGGCTCTCTAGGCGACCCAGAGCCAGCGCTTCTTCATCCGGGCCTCAGTTTCTCTCATCTGTAAAATGGAGCTGGAGAGGTGAGAAAACGAACCCGGGAAAACGGATTCTTGATCTCTTTGTTATCGGCAATATCGATTTAGCCTCCTTGCCTCCTCCCCGAGGTTCCCAGGTAGCCACCCTGTCCGGTGCCTTCCCACTCTCTCTCTTTTTGAGATTCGGGGTCCCCTTTCCACGCCCTCCAGGGTACAATAGTAGAGCGGGAGGCGGGGCCCAGAGGCGCTCGAGGCCACACCTCCAGGCCTCTCATTGGCTGCTTTTGAACGTCTGGGCCCGCCCCTCGGGGAGGGGACGCGGCGTCTTTATAATGATCCGGCTGCGGGGTTTGGAGCGTGCATTCTACAACCGTCTCTGCCGCGCGGAGGTCTCCTCTTGCACGCCCAGCTCCCGCCTCCTAGCTCACCCCGACGCCAGAATCATGAAGGTCGCCAGTGGCAACGCCGCGGCCGCC